CCTTAGTCTAAGAGTGAGTGACTGGCCGAGGGTCACCCAGGGATCATCGTCATAGCGAAGTGATGGTTTGAAGCCAGCTCTCCACAGCTCTAGGTAAAGGTAAAGGGACCCCTGACTATTAGGTCCAGTCGTGGCTGACTCTGGGGTTGCGGCGCTCATCTCGCTTTACTGGCTGAGGGAGCCAGCGTACAGCTTCCGGGTCATCGGCCAGCATGACTAAGCCGCTTCTGGCGAACCAGAGCAGCGCGTGGAAACACCGTTTACTTTCCCGCCGGAGCGGTACCTATTTACAGTGGTACCTTGGGTTACATATGCTTCAGGTTACATGCGCTTCAGGTTACAGACTCCGCTAACCCAAAAATAGTGCTTCAGGTTAAGAACTTTGCTTCAGGAAGAGAACAGAAATCGTGCTCCGGCAGCGCGGCAGCTGCGGGAGGCACCATTAGCTAAAGTGGTGCTTCAGGTTAAGAACAGTTTCAGGTTCAGTACGGACCTCCGGAACGAATTAAGTACTTAACCTGAGGTACCACTGTATCTACTTGCACTTCGACGTGCTTTTGAACTGCTAGGTTGACAGGAGCTGGGACCGAGCAACGGGAGCTCACCCTGTTGCGGGGATTCGAACCGCCGACCTTCTGATTGGCAAGTCCTAGGCCCTGTGGTTTAACCCACAGCTCTGGTTTGACACTTAAGCATGAGTTTGCCTTCTCCCTCTCGGATTGCCAGTGGCTCTGCGATGTCCGTGTTGAATAATTAGCCGTATGGTAACGCAGCACATTCAGGTTGGCTCAGGGAGACATGTTGCAGGCATAAATGGAACAAAGCTCTTTTCCAAGCAGCTGTTTGAGGACTGGTGCACAGCTGAGGCAAGGCCACCACCTAGCGGCAACAGCCCGTTGCACACTTGATAGGAATCCCATACAGACCTCCTGAAGTGCCTGGTTCTCAGGGTCAAACGACACACAAAGCTCAATTGTGAGCGTTTTCGCTGAGGGTTTCCTTTGTTAACCAAAACAACTCCAGGGAGCCATTTTCTTCCCCACATGGCTAGCTGCGACCCCCTTTCCCCGCAAGGGGGGAAATACAAGGAACTGTTTCTTTCCCCCTGCAGTGCAAAATGCAATTTAGAAAAGAAGCAGAGTTATAGATAAGAGAAAGAAAGGTTTTGTGGGAAGACCAAGTGCTCCTCTTCCATGCACAAATTTCCAGTCCACGCCGCAGTTTCCCTTGGCTGCTTTGGATGAAATAAAACTGAGAAAACTTAAGAAAAAGTCGTTCCAAGTGAGCACAACATTCACTCACAGACTTCGCTCATACCCTCCAACATTTCTCTGATAAAAATAGGGACATCCTATTCCATAATAATTACAATAATACTAATAATTATATTATTTATACCCCACCCTCTGAGCAGCTTCCAACATACATAAAAACACAATGTTTTTTTTTTAATGGCTTAAAACTTCCCTATACAGTGGTACTTTGGGTTACAGACGCTTCGGGTTACAGACGCTTCAGGTTACAGACTCCGCTAACCCAGAAATAGTACCTCAGGTTAAGAACTTTTCTTCAGGATGAGAACAGAAATCGCGCGGCGGCGGCGTGAGACCCCATTAGCTAAAGTGGTACCTCAGGTTAAGAACAGTTTCAGGTTAAGGATAGACCTCCAGAATGAATTAAGTTCTTAACCCGAGGTATCACTGTACAGGGCTGCCTTCAGATGTCTTCTGAAGGTTGTATAATTACTTATCTCCATTGTTTGAGGGGTCGCATAACTCCATACCCTCCAACATTCCTCCAATGAAAATAGCGACGTCGTAAGGAAAAACGGGACATTACGGGATGAAATCAGAAACCAGGATGGCTTCTGTAAATCCAGAATTGCCCCTGGAAAATAGGGACACTTGGAGAGTCTGTTCGCTGAGGGCATAAACCTCTTTGTAGGTTGTGCCTCTCCAGACTGCAGGCCAGACCAAGGGTTTTGTGGCTGAATGCTCAAACAATTCCTGCCACGTGGCTCCAAGGAATGGTGGCTCCAACCTAACATTCTCTCTAGGGAAGGAGAGGGTCTGGATCAGGCTTCCTTAACCTCAGCCCTCCAGATGTTTTGGGACTACAACTTCCATGATCCCTAGCTAGCAGGACCAGTGGTCAGGGATGATGGGAACTGTAGTCTCAAAACATCTGGAGGGCCGAGGTTGAGGAAGCCTGGTCTGGATAGAGATCTCCTAGACCAGGGGTCAGCAACCTTTTTCAGCCGTGGGCCGGTCCACCGTCCCTCAGACCATGTGGTGGGCCGGACTATATTTTGGAAAAAATATGAACAAATTCCTATGCCCCACAAATAACCCAGAGATGCATTTTAAATAAAAGCATACATTATACTCATGTAAAAACACCAGGCAGGTCCCACAAATAACCCGGAGATGCATTTTAAATAAAAGGACACATTCTACTCATGTAAAAACACACTGATTCCCGGACCGCCCGCGGGCCGGATTGAGAAGGCGATTGGGCCGCATCCGGCCCACGGGCCTTAGGTTTGCCTACCCCTGTCCTAGACGCTGTTATCCATGCTCTTGTAACCTCAGGTTAGACTACTGTAGTGCATTATACATGGGGCTGCCTTTGAAGACTGTTCAGAAACTGCAGTTAACCACAGAATAATGCAGCTGCACGATTCCTAACTGGGATGGAGCTTTAGGATCATATTACATCTGTGTGCACTGCCAACCGCCCTGGCTCTCCGTCAGCTTCTTGGCTCACTTCAAAGTGCTGGTTTTGACCTTTAAATCCCTTCATGGCTTAGGACCAGGGCACTTGGAAAAAACCAATTGTCTCCATATGTGTCTATTCAGATATTCAGTGAAGGGCTTCCAGTGGGAGACCCCAGCCAGGGAGGTGAGGCAGGTGGTGCCCAAGAGAGGTCAGTTGCAGACTGCTTTTTCCCAGAGAAGTTTTCCTGGGACTTACTTGATTGGCCTTTTGGCACCAGGCAAAGACATCTTTATTTTCCTAAGCTTTCTAGTTGTAGTTTGATGCCTGCTGACCATGATGTGCTGTTTCATTATAAAGGTAAAGGGACCCCTGACCATTAGGCCCAGTCGTGACCGACTCTGGGGTTGCGGCGCTCATCTCGCTTTATTGGCCGAGGGAGCCGGCATACAGCTTCCAGGTCATGTGGCCAGCATGACTAAGCCGCTTCTGACGAACCAGAGCAGCGCACGGAAACGCCGTTTACCTTCCCGCCCAAGCGGTACCTATTTATCTACTTGCACTCTGATGTGCTTTCGAACTGCTAGGTTGGCAGGAGCAGGGACCAAGCAACGGGAGCTCACCCTGTTGCGAGGATTCGAACCGCCGACCTTCTGCTCGGCAAGTCCTAGGCTCTGTGGTTTAACCCACAGCGCCACCCGCGTCCCTACACCCTGCTGTTTTAATATAATTGGTGGTATTTTCCTTATTTTATTTTTTTTGCATTTACATTCTAACGATTTGCCCTTTTTGCAAACTGCCCTGGGAACCATATCAAAGTGTAAAAATGCTTAAATATTAATAAAATGTGCTCAGACTCCTTCAAGTTGGGGAGCTGTATACGTCAGTGTTTAATAAATCACTAGAAGTGCTGTTGATCCACATCTGTGCTGTGGGAAGAAAACAAGGTGAAAGGAATCAAACCAGATGAGAATGGAACTGACAAATAATCCAGTCCAATTAGGTGAGAGATAAATCATCCTGTTATTTAATCCTAGAAGAGGGGCAGGAAGGAATGCAAGGTGACACTGGTAGGGTCTCCGAAGGATGATGCTTGCACCCTTGTGTCTGGTTACAATATTCCCAAGGTCGCCAGGTCTTGAAAACAAATTGGGGCACTCCGGATTGTGGTTGCCGGTGCTGAAAAACATGAGGATTTTGTGAGACAGATGAGCATCTTCTGGGGCGGCCGGAGAGAATGTGCTAAATAAAGGCTGGCGCTCCAGTTGCATGGAATTGTGTCTGGGAAGAAAGGGAAGTTTCTGAGTGTTATGACAGCTGCAGAGTTCAGGACGTCTGTGTTGTGAAACAATGCAGAGCTTTGTGGACAAGGGAAGGGGGGGGGGCCTCTGGCCTGGGAGTCCAGGCTGCTAACAGACACACACGATTGGCAGGATACTCTGCTGTCCCTTGGCCACTTCAGCAGATTGCTTGGGGTGTAACTCAGGGCTGGGGAAACCCACATCTTAATGCTGAATTGGAGAAAACAGCAATCAGCAGTAAAACACAGGTCTTCCTGGAGAAACTGCTGGAAGGAAGGAAGGAAGGAAGGGGAAAGGAAAGGAAAGAAACTTATGTACTGAGTTGAATACAGTGGTGTAGCGTGGGTTGTCAGCACCCGGGGCAAGGCAAGTAATTTGCGCCCCCTAACCCGTGGATTTGCGCCCCCTAACCCTAACCCCCAGAAGTTGCGCCCGGTGCGGCCGGCCCCCCCTGCACCCCCCACGCTACGCCACTGGTTGAATACGATCCAAAATGCAACAGTCTGGTTGGTCCTAGAACAATAGGATCCAAAATGCAGCAGTCTGATTGGTCCTAGAACAATGCAGCAGTATGATTGGTCTGCAGGAGCCACCCAATCCAGCTCCAGGTGGAAGTGAATCCACAACCTGATTGGCCTACAGGAGAATTCCAGAATTAGCCAATCACGTGCAGCCCATTGTGTAAATAATGTATATAAGCAGATATTGTGGGGGAACTTTCATTCCTCCTCACCACTATGAGCTGAATAAAGAGCATGAAATCCACTCTCGACTCCGAGTATATTTCAGAAACCAACCAACCACACTCAGACATGGAGCTTTAAAGTCTGGACATCTGTGCCTAGAAACACAGCTCAAAAGGAAGTCTGCACGAACTCTTAGCTGCAAATGGCTGGTGAGACAATTGCAGGAATGATAGAATCATACAGTTGGAAAGGACCCTAAGGATCATCTAGTCCAACCTCCTGCAATACAGGAATATGCAGCTGTCCCATACAGGGTTCGAACCTGCCACCTTGGCCTTATCAGCGCCATGATCTAACCAACTGAGCTGTCCAGCTATACAGAAAACATTTTAAGAACGTAAAGAGTACCTGCTGGATTGGGCGAAGGCTAACCGAAGACCCTGTTCCTATCCAGATGCCCTCAAACATAGGAGCCAACTCCTAGGGGCCAAGGTCCCTTCAGGGCTGCCCCCTCCCCAGTTGATGGGCATTGCTGCTCAAATAGTGTGTGTCTTGTGATCAATCATGTAGGGCGGAGCTTATCTGCCCCTCCTATTTTATTCAGGTTGGCACCCCTGTCCACAAGCAAGGTCTGAGTGCAGCAGCATTCTCTCAAATACTGTCTCTGATGGTGGAGGTAAAGCATAAACGTAACAGCCAGGGATAAAGATAACGGTAAAGGTAAAGGGACCCCTGACCATTAGGTCCAGTTGTGGCCGACTCTGGGGTTGTGGCGCTCATCTCGCTTTATTGGCCAAGGGAACCGGCGTACAGCTTCCGGGTCATGTGGCCAGCATGACTAAGCCGCTTCTGGCGAACCAGAGCAGCGTACAGAAACGCCATTTACCTTCCTGCCGGAGTGGTACCTATTTATCTACTTGCACTTTGATGTGCTTTCAAACTGCTGGGTTGGCAGGAGCTGGGACCGAGCAACGGGAGCTCACCCCGTTGCAGGGATTCAAACCGCTGACCTTCTGATCGGCAAGCCCTAGGATCAGTGGTTTAACCCATAGCACCACCCGCGTCCCTAGCCAGTGATAACTGATAACCTTATCCTCCGACGAAACATCGAGAAAAGCTTTCTGGTAGCAAGAGCAGTTGGATAGTGGAACGGTCTCCCTCAGGAGGTGGTGGACTCTCCTTCCATGGAGGTTTTTAAGCAGAGGCTGGATGGCCATCGATCAGGGATAATCTAGTTGAGATTCCTGCAAATTAGGGGGTTGTACTTGGAATTCATTCCACCTCTAAAATTCTACCTGGGGACAGTTTCCATCCATGGCCAGAGACCGAGGCCCGGAAAGACTGCATTCCTTCCCTGGGGCATGTTGCATGGCAAGTTCCCGACCCCCCCCCCCAAGTTGGAAATAATGACACATGACACAATTATTAAGGTTAATGGGCTAAAAAAGGCCACAACTTTATTGGTTACAGGTGAAGAGCGGTACAGTGGTGCCTCGCAAGACGAAATTAATCCGTTCCGCGAGTCTCTTCGTCTTGCGGTTTTTTCGTCTTGCGAAGCACGGCTATTAGCGGCTTAGCGGCTATTAACGGCTTAGCGGCTTAGCGGCTTTTAACGGCTTAGCGGCTTTAAGAAAAAGGAAACAAACTCGCAAGAACTCGCAAGACGTTTTGTCTTGCGAAGCAAGCCCATAGGGAAATTCATCTTGCGGAACGACTCAAAAAACGGAAAACTCTTTCGTCTTGCGCGTTTTTCGTCTTGCGAGGCATTCGTCTTGCGAGGCACCACTGTACTAGCTTAGTCATTGGTCCTAACCGACTATATCCGACTTTGGCCCGTCCGCTTGAAGTCCGGGAAGGGTTAACCACCAGTAGGGGGAGTTCTGCTGATGTACATCAACTATGAACTCCCCCCGGGGTCACTGCTAGGGGGCGTGCCTTGGGCCCTAACCTCCTTAGGCTTCGGACAGGGCCAACCCCCCCCCCCGGAACCCATTAACAGACTACCCTTCAATATGTGGGGCAGGTGATGGTGCTACCTCCCCTCTTCCATTTACAGAACAATACCATTGCCTAACCACCAATACCCAGAAGGTTGTGACAATTTGCTACGAGGTGGGGGAAAAACAAGTGGCTGGTGCCAATTTGCCAAGTGGAAAAATTCCTACCAGGCCCCTCGACAGCGACCAACGAAGGTCCATAGCAAGGTCAAGGAATGGAAACCTTATAGGGTGGGAGGGTGGGAAAAGCAGGAACGGCTGATGAGCGGCAAAGAGGGAGATCCCCAGCCGCGTTGTGCCTTTTACAGATATATATCAAACATAAACCATAAAAACAAGATTCCAAGGAATCTCCTGGACTTCCATCCTTCCCTTTGTGGGTCCTGTTATTAATCGTTTCCTTCTGCATCTTTTTGTTGTTGTTAAGTCGTTTAGTCGTGTCTGCCTCTTCATGACCCCATGCACCAGAGCACGCCAGGCACTCCTGTCTTCCACTGCCTCCCGCAGTTTGGTCAAACTCATGTTCGTAGCTTCGAGAACACTGCCAGAAGGTGATGGGCCCACTGGCCATCTTTTATGATAGTCCAAATCTTTTACATCTCCATTGTATCCAAAATTCACCCTTAAACTACAAGTGACATTCCAATCCTACTAATGATTTTAACTGTTTACAACTGTCTTTAAGACAAGTTATAAATTTTCCCCATTCCTTATAAAAAATTTGGTCATTCTGATTTCTGATTCTTCCGGTCATTTTAGCCATTTTGGCATCGTCCATCAACTTCATCTGCCATTCTTCTCTGGTAAGGACTTACAGTGGTGCCTCGCAAGACGAAAAGAATCCGTTCCGCGAGTCTCTTCGTCTTGCGGGTTTTTTCGTCTTGCGAAGCAAGCCCATTAGAGGTTTAGCGGCTTAGCGCTACAGTATTAGCGGCTTAGCCGGCTTAAAGATCAGCTGATAAGCGGCTTAACGATCAGCTGATAAGCGGCTTAGCATCAGCTGTTAAGCGGCTTAAAGATCAGCTGATAAGCGGCTTAGCCATCAGCTGATAAGCGGCTTAGCATCAGCTGTTAAGCGGCTTAAAGATCAGCTGATAAGCGGCTTAGCCATCAGCTGATAAGCGGTTTAGCGGCTTGAGAAAAAGGGGGGGGAGGAAAAAAACCCCACAGGAACTTGCAAGACATTTTCGTCTTGCAAAGCAAGCACATAGGAAATTCGTTTTGCGAAGCACCTCCAAAACGGAAAACCCTTTTGTCTAGCGGGTTTTCCGTCTTGCGAGGCATTCGTCTTGCGGGGCACCACTGTAGTCTTCTTTTCATCTCTGGGCCAATAACATCCACGCAGCTGTGGTCACATACATTATTTTCTGCTCCCTTGGGATTTCGGCACCTAGAATTCCTAAAAGGAAGGCTTCAGGGTGTGTTTTTTTAAGCAAAGGTTATTTTTTCAACTCATTATATATCATTTCCCCAAATCCTTTTACAGTACTACCTTACAATTCCACCACATATCATATGCAGGATTCTGGTTTTGGGTTTCTTTCTTTCTTTGTTTTAAAAAATGGTATGTACACAGCCTGAAGACTCTGATGGAGATGTTGGGCAGGCAGTACCATGGAACACTAACTCCAGGTAAGTATTTCAAGTATTATTATCATTAAATCAGTGCCTTTGATAAGTCCCACAAACATGAGAACATATCCCTCTTCTCCTGGATGCTCTGCTTTCTTTCATGTTTAGATATTCCCCAGGGCTTCCTGGGTGTAAGGAGACACAGGTGTTTTTCAACCTAGCCCTGCAGTTGCACACATCTGGCCTGCACCAACTTGTGTATTCCAGGGCTTATAATGTAAAAGATGACTCATGATAGATGCCAGCTTTACAGATTAATCTTACTTACATATATGTCTTATTTCCCCCTTAAGGTTTGCCAAGAGCATTTATTTCTGCTACACCAGGAACAAAATCTCAGCCAACCCTCTGGAGCATTGCATACTGCAGACTCCATCTCTTTGGCCCTCCACGTTAATTTCCTTCAAACGATACCAAGGGACTCATATGTTACACTTACACTATCAGTTTGACAAAATTTTGGCTTTTATTTATAATCATTTGTGTAGAAAGCATCAGTTTGGGCTTGCTTATACCTGTTGTGGAGGGAATTGCTTCAGCACAGATCACTTAAAAATGCCTTTTGCTTCGTAGAGTTGCTGAGGTTTCTCTTTCCACAGCGAGTAAATTGTATTGGTGATGCGTGCAAATCTCTTATGAATCGGATCGGGGTGGGGTGGGGGGCAGGCCGAATGGAGTGGGGGAGAGGAAGGTGAGGCTGAATTAATTTTTTGTGACTCTGATGCCGAGGATGAGGCCCAACTCCCTGCTAAAATTTACTTCAAGATGGATTTGTTGCCCAAGGTGTCGGCTGCATGAATACTTCAGCAAACTGAACTGATAGTTAACATGAAGACTGACTGGATTGTTTTCAGATGTACCCATAAATCTTCCCAATATGAAAACATTAATAGAGTGGCTTCAGATAAGCAGCAAAGCCAGGGGAGGCATAGTTGATAAGAAGGACTATTATCTCCTGGTACAGAAGCAGTGTAGAGGAGAGTGCAAAATATGGTCTGAAGCTCAACATAAAAAAACCCTAAGATGATGGCCGCTGGTCCCATCACCTCCTGGCAAATAGAAGGGGAAGAGATGGAGGCAGTGAGAGATTTTACTTTCTTGGGCTCCATGATCACTGCAGATGGTGACAGAAGTCACGAAATTAAAAGACGCCTGCTTCTTGGGAGAAAAGCAATGACAAACCTAGACAGCATCTTAAAAAGCAGAGACATCACCTAGCCAACAAAGGTCCGTATAGTTAAAGCTATGGTTTTCCCAGTAGTGATGTATGGAAGTCAGAGCTGGACCATAAAGAAGGCTGATCGCCGAAGAATTGATGCTTTTGAATTATGGTGCTGGAGGAGACTCTTGAGAGTCCCATGGACTGCAAGAAGATCAAACCTATCCATTCTGAAGGAAATCAGCCCTGAGTGCTCACTGGAAGGACAGATCCTGAAGCTGAGGCTCTAATACTTTGGCCACCTCATGAGAAGAGGAGACTCCCTGGAAAAGACCCTGATGTTGGGAAAGATGGAGGGCACAAGGAGAAGGGGACGACAGAGGACGAGATGGCTGGACAGTGTTCTCAAAGCTACCAGCATGAGTTTGACCAAACTGCGGGAGGCAGTGGAAGACAGGAGTGCCTGGCGTGCTCTGGTCCATGGGGTCACAAAGAGTCGGACACGACTAAACAACAACAACAAAAGCAGTATCATAACCTCCAAGTGTCCCTATTTTTCAGGGACAGTCCCGGAATTAACAGGACT